TGCCCACCAGTTATCCAATAAATCGGAAAAGATGTTTTCACCACTTAGATCTAATTACTGCCAGCTTGCGGCTTTTAGGAGAAAGCATGTCTGAAAGTTAAGTTACTTTAAAAAAAGAAAAAAAAGCACCAATGTGAGTAAGACCACACACTGATGCTTGAGAGCAAGTAATGTTAATAAAACTGTTAACTTTCCCCCCCCTTCCTTGTGTGTTATCGCAGGGCTCATCGGGAGAATTACACTTATAAACATGGAAAATTCTCCCTGCTACGAAAGAGAATACGCACAGATTTTTACAGATCAGGTTGCTTGCTGTGAAAGGGAAAAAAAAAAAAACCAGCTAGAATTGCTATTTTGCTTTCTGATGATTTGACAGAATAATGTGGAAGCCTGATTGGGTCAGCTTAACTATGAGAAATGGATATTATCCTGAACTTACCTTGACTTAAATAGTGGGGAGCACATCAACTTTTCTTTCAGAGAAAAATTTCCATCGGATGGTTTCCAAGGTCTGCCTTTTCTCTCTCACGTGCTCAACCTCTCCCCTTTTTGCTTTCATAAAAAGTGATTTTTCTCTCTGTCTTTTTCATCCAGGAGTTGGAAACATTTCTCATTAAGAACCCTGATTGCATTTCCTACCCCTTGGGAATGGGCTAATGGAGGAAGGAAAGCCATACAAAGGTCAGGAGGTTTTGTGCGTCTGTGTGTGTGTTGATACAGATGTGCCAGCAGTTTAAACCTCATCCAGTATAATTGTAGATATTATGGGATGCTGCCTTGCATTATACAGGTTTTACAAGCACTTTTTCATAATGTGAGCCTGAATTACATAAAAAGATTCTGGCTGGCTTAAATGGATCGAAAGAAGGGTGGGAGAAATTCAACAAGGACTAGCCAGAAAGAGCAAAAGGGAATTTTCATAGTCAGAGATAATAGTCTTGCCTGCCTGCCTGCCTTCCCTGTGAACCCTAAGATGCTGGATACAGCAAAATCTGTTGGATTTGCGGCTACATATTCAGCCTGGGGTTCCCCTATTTCAGTCCAAACCATGGAGCTTTTCCACCAGCTGCAATACCCTTTTAAATAAGAAATGCACCTCACGGTGTTATGATTTAAACTGATAGAATGTTAGCTACTTTTGTCAAAACCCCAAGTATCTCTTCTGTCATTGCTTTACCCCTTCTTCCTCCTTTGGTTTCATTCATACAAAGTTGTCACAAAGGAACATGAAACTCAAATGCCTTATTATTATCTGATGCACCCTTGCTCTAGTTTTCCTTTTGTTCCTTCGCTGGTTGAACCATTCAGAGGTGTTGTTTTTTTGGGGGGGTGGGGTGGGGTAGGGTGGTGGGCAAATCAAGAAAGATTTGCACATCTGACAGGCTTTGAAAATCCTAAAAAGAACTCAAAACACCCCCTTCTCTCTGTTAAATGCTTTCTGCTGCTCTTAAAGGTGTAGAAAGATATTTCTTCCAACGAAGGAAATGAAGCAATCTTAAAAAAATCCATTTTTACTTAGCTAAGCCTTAGGACACATTGTCACTGACAATGTGATGCCAAATGCCCCTGATTAAAAAGACATATGGATGCAACTTTATAAAGGTGTTCAGCTGTCAAACTAACATTTTTTTGTTTTGCCACCGTGGCACTCGATGCTGCCCTTTCTTTTAAGGTGCTCATAAAGTAAACTTTGCTCTTTCTCTATTTAAACATATTTTGGCCCAAGTTCAGTGCACATATTTGAAAGTTTCTTTTAAGCTTTTTCTTAAATTTTTTTTTTTTTTTAAGCTCACCTAACAGGTGAGATGTTCCACGGTGTTTAAAACAATTCATTGAAAAGCAGGATGGAACGTAACCGGCCAAATTCTTAAGAGCATAATTTAAACGTGAATGCGGACATCAACGCAGCATAAGAGCTCCATTTAGTCATGATTTAAATGCAATTTTAATTAAAATGCCTGATTGTTTTTAAAAGATAAACTCATCCCTTTAGTACTCCTTTCTTAACTCATTATCCCACACAAATTAGTACAGTTGAAGGCAAGTTCTGTTACCCGTGGAGAGACAAGTGATGGGCGGATTTGATTCACCATATAAAAAAGGATCAAACAGCTGGTTTTCGGTTATGCCTTTTTTCTTCTCCCTTCTTTACCCCAAATATTTGCATTAAGCTCACCGGCCAAAAAATGTTTGTACTCTCCGCCTGAGGGAAGTAGTTTGAAATGAGGACCAGCTGCTTGTCCACAACTGTTTATAGGAAGGCTGTGTTTGAGATGATTACATTTGCTGGGCTGAGTGGACTCAGAGCCTTGCCTAGAGAAGGATTCAAAGCATCTGCTTGTGAACACATTCAGATGGCTTATGCGAGGCAGCCTCCGCACATTGCAACAATCCCTGTTTTCTTTAGCCAAGAATTGCTGGATAAGCATATAGTGCGATTGGATTCACACAGCACCCTATAAAGCATCTCTGGGGAAGAATCCCTAAACTTGGTATTTTTCCTTCCATTGCCCCCAATTCCTCATTGCCCTACAAGGAAAGGTCCTGAAGATTTATTTGTTGCATTTAATAATACATGGTGTAATTATTTTTATTCTTGATGGTTTATGTCACTTGAGAGTTACTTGGTGGAAGGTTATTTATCCTAAAACACAGGATATAGTTCAAATAAAATTTTCAGTCTGGGAGCACAAACTAGGTTTCGACTCAAAAGTAAAATGCATTACACTGAAATACACGGAAAAAAATATTTTGGCAATTTTAATTTCAGTGTCACTGATCATTCTTTTTTGAGATTGTCCAGGTATATGAAGAACATTCTGGACACAGGTTCATTGCAGGTTTGAAAAGAGGCTTTTACAAAGGTGCCCAACCTCCTTATTGGAGTCAGTGAACTCCAAACACCCTGCGTTTTCCTGGCTGGGTATTAGTGTCTCCGTTGTACCTCTTAACGCGATTGCTGAAATATAAGGAAATGAATATGGAGGGATTGTATTTCCTTCATAATGTCCATTAGCAACCTGAAAGAGAGGTGACTGAAGATAGGAAGGAGGGAACTGCAGCAATTCAGAAATACCCCTCCTCCTCCTCCTCCTCCTTCATATATACATATATGCATATACAAATACATACATACATACCTACATGACATACATACTCACACATAGTCACAAAATCTCCAGAACCCTAAAGCCTATAAACTTGAAATTTGGCACCTATGTTCCTCTTGCCTTTTAGGTACTCACTAAGAAAGGATTTTTCCAAATGACCATCAGAGCCATTAGCATTTCCTATATTATTATTAACTTGTTCTGATGCTAATGAGTTCTACTACTACTCCCCACCTGAAAAGAAATCTCTTCCAAATGCAAAACACAAGCAGAGGAGAGGAGTTTCCGTTTCCGTTTTACTTTCACAGCAGCAAGCAGCTTTAGTACAGAACAGTTGAGCTAAGCCATGCCCAGGCTCCTTGCTGTCTCCTTGCTCACACAGCAAATACTCTTTCAGTTTTCAAACAGCCCTCAACTCTCACACACTGACGGGATGCTAGCCAGATGAATACCGATGGATGCTGCTAGGCAGAAGCACAATTCCCCACCCCCCTTATTTTCCTCCCCAAAAACTAAGCCCGATTACATAGCAAGGGCATCGAGCTAGTTAGGTGATATTTCTTAGCGAAGGAGATAGATCTAGCCCTCGACGTACGACCACAACTGAGCCCAACGCTTCTGTTGCTAAGTGAAACATTTTTTCGCTGAATATCACCCCATTTTACCACCTTTCTTGCCACGGTGGTTAAGCGGATCGCTGTGTGTCTTGGTCATTAAGTGAATCCGGCTTCCCCATTGACTTGGCTTGTCAGAAGATCGCCAAAGGGGATCACATGTCCTCGGGACAACAGCAACGGCCATAAATACGGGTCAAGTTGCCAAGCATCCGAATTTTGATCCAGTGGCCGTGGGGAAGTTGCAACGGTGGTGTGGAAAATGGTCATTTAAGTCTTTTTTCCTCGGTAACTTTGAACGGTCACTAAGTCGAGGATAAAGGACCTCAGGCAGGGGATTCTGCCTAAACAAATTCCTTGTGTGTCCAGTCACACTGGGCCAACAAAGAATTCTATTCATTCTATTCTGTATTCTATTTTGTTCTTCTGGAATCTAGTCTAGTCTAATCTGTTCTATTCATTGTGTCCTAATTCTGCTCTAATTCTATACTTATTCTGTTCTGTTTTAGTCTAGTCTAATCTAGTCTACTTTTCATTCTGTTCTATTCTATTCTAATTCTATTCTAATTCTTATTCTATTAAGAAAATTAAAATATCACAAAGTCACAAGTTCCAGGAAGGAGCAGGACAGAATGGCAACGGAAGGACAGAGCCCTATTTCCTGTAGGTCTCCAAACTTGGCCATTTTAAGACTTGTGGACTTCAACTCCCAGAATTCTCCAGACAGCATGGCTGACTGGGGCATTCTGGGAGTCGAGGTCCACATGCTTTCAACTTGGAGAAACTACCGTTTTTTTGGGCAGGGAGAAATCCATCTTTCTGTTTTTGCACATGATGGGAACCAAGAAGTGTAGGCTGGTGCATGGGAATTGTAGTCCTGCCTCCGGAAGAGGGAGAGAGCGGATCATTAAACTTTAGAATCCAATTCATAACTTTGCTCCGCAGCATCTCTTCTTCTCACACTTCGCTTTCCCCCCCCCCGTCTTCCGTATGTAGATGGTCCCTCCCGTCCTCTGGCGCACGCAACTTCTCCCCCACCCCCGTACGCCGATGGTCTTTCCCACTTCCCACCGCCCTCCTCCTCCTCCTCCTCCCCGAGCGCGCAGGCGCGGCGTAGCCTCCCGCTCCATACTTGGCGATGCCCGGCGAGCGGCCTTCTGATTGGCTCGGGGTGGCTCGAAAGGGGGAGGGGAGGGGTTAGTAACAATGGGCGGGGGGGCTCCTCTTCACACTGTGCGCGCGCGCGCGCGCGCGCTGTCTGACCCGGATGTGCAACTGCTAGGCAACGGCGGAAGTGGCGGAAAAAAAAAAAGGGGGAAAGGAAAGGAGAGGAGGAGGAGGAGGAGGCGGCGGCGGAGGAGGAGGAGGAGGAGGGCGGCCTGCGGCCTGGCTCAGAGCTCGGAGAGGCCGGACGGAGGGACCCGGAGTCGCTGCCGTCGCCGTTTCCGCTCCTGGTGCTGAAGAGGGCTCGGCCCCACAGAGGCATCATGGTGAGGGAGAAGCCGCGGGTCTCGGGGCTGTCAAGGCGGGGCGGGCGGGCGAGCGAGGCAGCGTGAGGGGGAAAGGCTCCGCCAGTAGGGGGCGCTTCCTCGCGTGAGGGGCGTCGGGGCGGGGCAGCCTGGGGACTACAAGCTCCATCCTCCCCAGTGTGTGTGTGAGAGAGTCCTGCTGCATGTGGGGGGTGGGGGGGGTCCCCAATCGGTGGGTTTACGGCTTCTGACCCAGAAATGGGGGGGTCCGGCTTAGCAGGAGAGTCTCCCCTGCCAGTGTGGGGTTCTTGGGGAGGGGGCTGTGGGGCCGCCCTGTGCCGGGGTTGGGGGTGCGGAAAGCGGGGAGGGGGCAGGGAAGGAAGAGGAGGAAGGACTTGAGGGGAGGCGGGGGGGTGGGGAGGGCGACAAGGAAGGGAGCAGCCCCCCCCTCCCCCCGTTTGCCCTGCAGAGGGTTTCAGTCCCTTTTGTTTGCTGCTGGCCTCTGTGGCTGGGTTGACAGTTCAGGAGAGCCCTTAAAGAATGGGGGTGGGGGTGGATTGAGGTCCTCTATGGAAACCCCTTCCCTTCCTCTCACCCAACCTCCCTCGTATCACCTTCCTCCTTCCCTCCCTCCCTCTCTCATATCTTCCTTCCATCCATCCATCCATCATCCTTCTCCCTCTTGTCCTCCCTCATATCATCTCCCTCATCTCTCTTTCCTTCCTTCTATCATCTCCCTCCCTCCCTCCATATCCCTCCCTCTCTCCCTCCCTTTATTTCTCCTTCCTTTCATATCTTCCCTCCCTCCA